CTTTACTGCTGAATTCCCCCAAATCTCATTGATCACCTCCACCAGCTCTGCCTGCATGTGCCTGCCAAGAGTATTCACCTACAACACACAAAATGACATATCCATATAATGACATAATTTAAAAGTTTGGGGTGAGTAAAATGTGTTCTTTTTTTTTGTGTGTGTGTGAAAAAAATATTTTTTGCTCACCAAGGCTGCATTTGTTTTAAAAAAGTAACAGTAGAAGCAGTAATATTATGAAAATGTATTACAATTTATAAGAACTGCATTCTATTTGAATGTATTTTGAAATATAATTTATTCCAGTGATGCAAAGCTGAATTTTCAGCATCATTACTCCAGTTTTTAGTGTCACATGATCCTTCAGAAATTATTCTAATAGGGCTGCAAAACTATTAATCGCATTCAAAATAAAAGTTTGTGTTTACATACTATGTGTGTGTGTACTGTGTATATTTATTATGTATATATAAATACACACACATACAGGTATATATTAAGGAATAATATGTTTATAAATATTTATATTTATATATAATATAAATTATACACAAGTATAAATATATATAAATATTTTTTTAAATATATACATTTGTGTATTTATATATTCATAATAAATAAACACAGTACACAAACATATAGTAAGAAAACAAACTTTTATTTTGAATGCGATTAATCGCGATTAATCGTTTTGCAGCGCTACATTGTAACATGATAATTTGCCGCTCAAGAAACATTTCTTATTATCATCAATGTTGAAAACAATTGTGCTGATTAATATTTTTGTGGAAACCATGATACATTTTTCAGGATTATGAATAGAGAGTTCAAAAGAACAGCATTTATTTGAAATGTAACTTTTTTTTGCAACATTATAAATGTCTTTACTCTCACTTTTGATGCATCCTTGCTGAATAAAAGTATTTATTTTAAATCAATAAACATTGACATTATTACATCAGAGGAATCAAGGGAAGAACACAACACACCTTTGAGGTCGGATCATTGATTCGTACCACAGCAACATTATCCTTGACCTCATAGCTGACATGAGTGCGAGCTGCAGACAGAGAGAGAAAAAGAAGTGATTAAAAAGAAAACATTAAGCATGTCTCTATTCATCTATTCTCATTTTAATAGTTACCCAGCACAGCGGATGATACGGAGAGACTCCTCTGTCCATGACCTTTGACCCAATACAAAAATAAACACGATCACACACGTCTACAGTTCCATGTGAACCTTTAATGCAAAGTCCAACAGTCCTTCATACACAGAAGTCATTTCCTTTTAACAAAGTAATATTGTAATTCACAAGCCTGGTTTATGTTTATGATTAAACAAGCGATTTATTAACTCTTAATCTGTATCTTATCTTACAAAATGCTGTTTTAAATACCCAAACAGACTGTAATCAATATAGAATTTTTACTATTACAGAATAAATATAAGATCGATATATTTTACATCACACGGCTGTTTTAAATATACTTTATTAAATTTGGGATCTCTATGGAAATGCATGTAACCGGTGACACGGTGACATTTGGCCCAGAATCCTGTTTTCATTGGAGACACGCATGACCTCTGCCCCAGTTCCCCCATTCAACCCCACCTGAGTACACGTGTCTGTGTGTGTCCAATCAGAGGTCAGCAGGTCACAGGAAGTTAAAATAATACAAGAAATCATAAACTTACTCCAAACATTGAACCTAAATACATTAAAGGGGTCATATGATGTTGCTAAAAAGAACATTATTTTGTGTATTTGGTGTAATGAAATTTGTTTATGCGGTTTAAAGTAAAAAAAAAAAAACATTATTTTCCACATACTGTACATTATTGTTTCTCCTCTATGCCCCGCCTTTCTGAAACGCGTCGATTTTTACAAAGCTCATCGGTCTGAAAAGCGAGGTGTACTGTGATTGGCCAGCTATCCAGTGCGTTGTGATTGGCCGAATACCTCAAGCGTGAGACGGAAATGTTACGCCCCTCACCATATTGTGATGCCGTGTCAGGCCAGAGCGAAGAGACATAAACATGAAAACCCATTATAAACGAGGCATTCATTGCATCCAGTGGGGACATAATTATGGATTATAATGACTTATACTTAAATGTCTTTTTACGCGTTGCATCACGCCGCATAAACATAAAACCATGTCTGCATTTGTGATCGGAGAAATGACAAACAACAAGCCCTACTCTACACTGCCCAAAAAACTCACTTTAAATATAAAAAATATCAAATATAAAAACTCTTTAAATATAAAAAAACGTACTTACAGTCTGTGAGTCAAAACAGACGGCATTGTAGTCTACTCTCCCAGGATCAGGAAACAGTCCTCCATAAAATGTGCTGCACACATCTGAATATTTGGGTTGAACTGTTCTGGAACAGTGTTGTAAATACAACTTAACCACTGATTTCTAGTCGTGTCCATTTTTGGAAGGCCAAACAAAGTAGTTTCACTTTCACAACGAAGCACAGCGTCACACACGCACCTAGAGTGAGCAGAGGCGGCGGGCTTGCGGTAACCGGGCTGGACTCCGCTTCGTCCACGGTGAAAGCCGATCCGGCGATCCACAGCGCGAAGTTGATGTATTTCCTCAGCGACCAGCACAGATCAGCTCTAGGCATGACGAAGCAGATATCGTCCTCTTTTGGAAGACCAAACAAAGTAGTTTCGCTTTCACAACGAAACACACAGCATCTTCACAACATGGCGGCGGCAACAATACTACAGCGAGAATAAAAGTTACACCTTTTTTCTTTGCGTGAACATTTGGGCGCTTAGGCGTAATTTGCGGGTGGGACATGTCCCCACCACTTTTTGCCAGGGTCAATATTGTCCCTACCACTTTTTGAAAGTAATTGAAAAATATATAGCGGACGGTATGTATTAACGGGAAAACAAGATCAACAAATCATTATTCATAATCTAATTAGAGTGATAAAAAAAAACAAAAAAACATTCGATTCCTTACACATGCATAACTCATGCAGTGCAATAACGACGTGATTTGCAGCTGTCGCACTTTTCGTAATGTCATTAGCATTTTATTTTAAAAATGGAGAGCTTCATTGTGCTAAGTAGGCCTGCCCTATACTAAAGATTTTTCTAGTCAACTAGTCGCACGTTATATTAAATTGATTAATATAATAATATATTAACCATACTTTAATATAGGCTATAGGCAGACGTATTAGGCTATAGCCTATTCCGCGCTCAAGCTCGCGTATAAAGCAATTGCCTCAAAGCATCGCAAAGTGATTATGAACATGTCGGGGTAAAAAAAAAAGACATTTTAATTATTTATTAATAAACTAGTGCTTTCTGAGTCAGTGTCGGGTGCAAAGATGAAGTTGCCGAAT